CCCCCCCCCCCCCCCGGTGTTTGCCATCGGGGTTTGGGTTTTCGTCGCTTGGCAACGACGTTGTAAAACAAGCCCCCCACTCGGTGTTTGCCATCGGGATTGGGTTTTCGTCGATTGGCAACGACGTTGTAAAACAAGCCAATTCACTTCGTGAACTCGGCAACCAGGTTACCGTCTTTTTTTTTTACCTCTGGTTTTTTTTTTGGCGGTAACCATAATGGTGGTCGAGTAGATCATGTTGTGCGGGGTCGAGAAACCTCACTCCGCGCAACGGGGGATGATCGCACCACGTTGTGTTAAAATGGTCAAGCTTCCTCGAGGCAGTTACACAGTGCTTACAACTGTCTCTGGAAGTGAAAGCACCAGAAAATAAATTAAGTCAGTGAAAGCACCAGAAAATAAATTAAGTCATACGTAGCTGTCATCCGTACGCAAGGAAGTAAGCACAAGATGCCGAACACCCTTAGCAGGATGCAGCTCACCCTTCATGCGACTCGCCAAATACCTCACGGCGCTTCGCGCTTGGTGATGTGAGAGTCTGGTCCGGTGAGAACCCGGCGTGCTCCGTCCCGGCTTTGTAGGGATGCGAGGTCAATGGTCAAACGACTACGGCATGCACGACTATGAGTACACCCCCCCCCCCACCTCTCTTTCACAAAAACACACCCGAAAAAACGAGCGGAAGTAGAGGGAGTGCCCCACGCACACCACCGTGTCTTCCGGCCTTTGCGATGCCCACTCCGCGAGTGCCTTCATGCGCTTCATCCCCGTGTTGCCCAACGCCTTCGTGCCCACGTTGAACTCCGCGTCGAAGACAACGTTTCCGCCTGGCCACGTTAAAAATTGGGTGTATCTCCTTCAGAAAAAAACATCAAGCGAGGGCTACGGCTTGGGTTGGAACCAAGCAGGCAAGAGGTGAGGGGTCCCGCAAAACGACACCACATCAGCAGCAGCAGCAGCAGCAGCCGGGCGGGTGGGGGTCACGAGGTCGGGACATGTGAAAAATTCAAGAAAAAACAGCAGTAACGGTGATGAGGTCAGCAGGTTAAGTGCGTCGAAACCAACGCTTGGCGTTCCACCCCGAATGAAACCCCACTTGAGCACCGGTGTTGCAGACGGCATCATAGGTAGCCGCCGCCACCGACGGGAAAAGGCGAGCGTGGCGGTGGCAGGGCTACGAAAGCTACAAAAGGTGGGTAGGCTGGCCGGCGTAGATATCTCACCTAGCTCCTTGGCGAGACCTTCATCCGGCTTTTCCCCTCGCTCCAACAGCGAAATCCCGTCGATGTTGAACGTCATCTCCTAAAATACCGCGCAAACGTATATGGCGGCATGTCGACACAAAACATATTCAGCGCCAAGGATAGGGAGAGGTGGCATCCTATACATTGTACATGGGTACAGTGTACATGCACAAAAAGCGGATTCGCAAGGCAGCGCCTTCGGTGAACACACCCCAATGCCGCCGAGCGTTCTTCTTCGGCCGGAAAATTCTAAGGGTAAACACTCCTACCTACCTACCCCCCCCATGTACGGAGCCCCCTCTCCGGTGGTGTCTTGCCTGCAAGGCGCTGTGGACGAGGTAGCGCTCCTCTCCGCCTCTCAAACGCTCCCAGAGCGTGATCAGCCCGGTGGCGATGGCACGCCGAAGGTTGGAAGTCACGACCACTGACGACTGCGACGATTGCGTCGAGCCTCCCCGAAGCGTCGCCACCGCATCCGCAACCTATCTCGACGGGGGTCATACAGGATATCGGCGCGTGGCGTAATTTAGCGGTAGAGAAGACGTTTTTCGGCAACGTGCGTGAGGCAAGAGGGAGCACGGCGGCGATGGAGGGGTGGACGAGAGTAGGGGGAAAGAGGATTCATCTTGCATGGCTGTGGTAACTCTGACCAACGACTACATGCAGTTTTGGTCGGACACTTAAGCAGAAAGGGCGCTGTTGTATCTCAAAAGGCTAGTATTTCAGTGATTGTGAGTACACTTTCTGAGCATCGCGCACGCCAGCCAAAGCTCACTTTTGAGCGCGGTGAAGGCGCAGCTGGACGTTCTAGTGCCGCCGTACCTGGCAATGCACCTTATCCAGCAACCCCACGAAACTGCAGCGGCTGCCTCTCTGCTAGGGGAAATGTGCATATACCGCTACCAACGCCACCAGAACGCGTTCCAACCCAGAAATTTTCGAGCGCTTGCGAGCGTGTCCGAAGAACTTGAAATGACTCTCTTAAACGGGTTGCATCCACTGCTGTTAGCCGCTAGCATCGCAATCTTTTCCTTCGAAGTAAACATGTATGGCAAGGGTGGGTGGCGGCTCCTTACCCCTGATCCCGAGAAACTGTCGGGAGTCTTTTGCAGGAACCGAATGAGCTCCTGGGTCTGATCGTACACGCGCGAAAGCCGGGAGGCGGGAGCGAGGGATGGACGGGGGGTCATCACTCACGAACAGCTTCTAGGTTGGGGGCTGAGGAGGGGCCCCGCAAGAGCACTGGCAAGGGCACTTTTTCCCCCGCATGGTATTGGCCGCAAGGGCGCTGACAGGGGCACCGCAAAAAAGTGCTTGAAAGCGACGAAATGCTCAAAAGCTTCTCTGTCGACGTGACACAAAGTTAAAGTTTGGCACTGCCGCGGACGTCAAACGCAACAGCGACAAGGGCGAAAGGAGTGGAGACCTCGGCTAGCGCACAAAGCGCGACGGCAGCAATACTCCGGTGGCAAACGCGCAGCAAACCCATCTCTCTACCACCAACTGCCAGCCTTCCACTCGCGGCAGGACATCTTAGAAACAAGATCGCACCTGCTGGATGCCGGTGTTGCTGAGAGGGGAATCGAAGAACACGCTGTCGCGCGTGGACAACATCATCACCTCCCTCACGAAAGCGCTCACCAGCCGCACCAAAAACGAAGGCCCAAATCCCCGGTTGAACACCTTCGGATGGCACGTTTAGCAAGGCGGAGGGGATCGTCTGCTTCAGCCTCTTGGCGCTTGTCAACGCAGATATCATACGGCCACGGAGCACGGGGCACCCCGCGACGTAAGGATTGGGGGACAAAGGATGGGAGACTTACAGCGGGGACCGTTGGGGTGTAGCTAACCTAAGCGTTCTGGCCCCGTCGTGGGTAGACCGCGTTCCAAAGTTAAGAAAACCGTGGAATCCTTGTCATGGGATGCCCCCGACACCCGGCAAGTTTCTTCCAGCACCAGAAACAACTACAGCGGTACCCAGGCCCGGCCGCCCCAACTCCCAGCCCTCTCACACCTCGTTCCATTCAGACTCTCCGTGCCTGATGAAGATTATCCTCTTCCGACGAGAGGTTGAGTCCACGCGCACCTTGCCCGAATCCACCTGAGACGCAACGTTAAGATCAACCAACAAAACCGGGGGGGGGGGGGGGGGATGGACCACCATAAGACACGCCATCAGGAGATCCACCGCAGCACCTTTTTGTTCTGCATCAACTACGTGAAATGAGAACGAAAGGATCGGCCCGCGTATCCGAAACCGCTGGAAACAAGCAAAACCAAGGTTGTCAGCCTTAACGCTGCAACTGTGTGTACGTGATATCTCCCGTGACTACCGAAGTCCCACGATGAGCGCAACCACCACAACCGTCGCGATCGGTACGGGAAACGGTACGGTGTTGGCCCCCACCAGCGGCAGCCCTACCGAGAGCTACTGTACTACAGCAGTACTTCATACCAGCAGACCACTATCTGTCTCTCGCAACCTCAAAGAGGCTCCAAACGTATCTCTTTCAGAAATCCTCGAGAGGCACACCTCGGGCTTGAACTTCTTGTCCTTGGACAGTAGCATGTGGACCGCGCCGATGCCGGCCAGCTTGACCTTCCGCCAGATGTTCTCCGCAGAGCCCGAGATAAAGGCAAGCACGCCGAAACCGGCGCACACCAGGATCACCGTCGAAAGCCTGACCTCCGACATGATATGACGACCCTGCTGATCTGGGTCTATCGGCACCAAGCCTTGCAACTGCTGTCCGGGAGAGCAATTCCTCTTCCCTCTTCCACCGCAGACCCTTGCCTGTTTGACCTCCTTGGGCAGCAGCAGTCCGATGCTCTCGCTTCTCACCAGCGGGGCAGCAGCGGTTGATGTACAATTCCGGTTGTTGCCATACACTGCTGCTCCGCGATCCCTAGCAGCGGGTGCTCCTCCGCGTGCCTCTACCAGGGTGGGGTCTGCAGGAATAAATTCAGCCGGAACACGCGCTTGATTCGACAACGCAATGGTGGACAGAGGATCGCGGCGTGTGCACACTATCCTGCCCAGCTGACCCTGCGGAGGTGCACGTGGCAGATCAGATGCAGTTCTTCTGGTTGCTCCCGCGGAGCGAGCAATGGGGGCACCGTAATTGCACATGAGGGTACCCGCAACGACGGTGCCGTTTGTTTCCTGTCCTGGTGCCCCCATCTCCGGACGACTCAGCAAGCGAGGCAGCAGACAGCACAGCAGTATGTCTGTTTCGGTGGCGAGGCGCGTGGCGGTGGCGAGTGCAGCAGCGACTGGCGTTGCTTTAACCGACCGAGATCGACGGGACGCCGTTACAGGGGCCGCAAATGGCGCAATTCGCTTCGGCCGCGCCTTCGGGTACGGAGCGGCCGTCAGCTTGGACTATAAGTACCGGTCAGTGCAAGCAGTGCGAGTTGCAGGGACATGAACCAGCTATGAGGGTTTGAGTGTAGTGGCTGAACGGCATGTGTGTTGAACTGGTAGGAAATGCGCGTGGTGGGCGACATGTCGAGTTGCCGACCCCCGCAGGGACAAGAGAAACTTGTGTGTACTTGTAAGTGCAGCTGTTATGGCCGTGTTCTGAAACCTTTTCGCTCTCTCAGGTACGTATGTACCTCCCCAACCTCCCCCCCTAATGCTACAGCAGTATTGCTCCTGTACGTCGACAGGGATACCGATACCTGTAGGTGCCAACAAAGCCTCTTCCTCGTCTTCATGGCCGATAAGCGCATATTTTTTTTCCCCGGAGTCCTTTGCGCAGTATATCTCTATATCTCAGGCCTCTGGTATCACGGAAATTTAGTCTGTTTTTGTGCATGCAACGGCATGTCGGAGCTGCTGAAGTACTGTGGGGACACACGACACTTTCACTTTCCTCCGCACTGCTCTACTTTAGTGTACTGCTGTATCTCGCCAACCCTTCGGGGTATGGTTTGACGAGCCACTCGCTCGCCGGTCCTCTGGGACATATTTTGACGCGATAACCGCTCTCTAACCCTACAGTAAGCTCTAAGAGCATTCAACATGTCGGTACAGCAGTACGCGGTGAACCGTCCACAAAAGCGCGACCTACTCAAAACATGCGAACCAAACATTCTAACCATCAAGAGTGGTGGACTGCGACAAAGGGACAGGGCTCGAGGTAGCAGAGTCGCTGCGACCTCACGGCTTATCAGGAGTCGACATGCTTACGTAGGGTCAAGGCCATGACCTTGCCGCTACGCAGCAGACGAAGGCGAAAAAAATTATCGAAAGCAAGAATCAAGCAACACGACCGTGCCCAAACGACGCCGCCAGTGTAATGGGATTTTGACCCCTTCCTTCAGCATGAATTCACCTTTCTGCTGTGTGGAACTGACTCTTTTGTCCGACCACAGATGCGGGTTGTCGTTGCTTTCCTTTCATCCCTCCTCTTGATTAATGCTTTCACGTTGTGTCTTCCGATGCAACCCAAAGCCATCCCGCCCAAAGTACTGCCTTCGTCGTAGACGGAGCCACACCCAGCTGAGGGACGGTGTCTCAAGGTGTCGCAAATGGGGATGTCTGATGTACACCACCCCCCGACAAAACACGCCTCCGAACGCATACAGCGTGTACGCCCCCTTCTCGTTGGCGGCAGTCTCACAGGCAGTGCGGTCGATGCTACATGAGGAAACACACGACGCTTTCGGCGGTGCACTCTCGTTACAATGACTAGGAGACGCAAACGCTCGTGTCTCGATCTTAGCAGGAGCTACACAGCCTGTGTATGTATGCATGCCCCCCCACCCACCCCCGCGCAAGTACCGCGGTGCACTCGCTCAGCTTTAATATGCCCTAGTGCAAGCCCTTAACCCCTCCTTTTGTTTAACTAAGCCGTCTTGTTTCCCCCCCCCAACCGAAATCTAATCCGAGAATAGTCTAAGGAACCTCGAGAGGGGATCCGACGAGTACGAGGCTGTACGAAAGGAGGTCAACCTACGGGCAGCCCAGCGCCTGCTCCACGTGTGCTCGATACACGGCGGCGTTTACACCAAGTTCGGGCAGTACGTCTCGTCCATGAACCACGTCCTGCCGAAGGAGTTCACGGAGACTCTCAAGGTCTTGCAGGATCGCAACCCCAGGTGGGACACACGTACGTAATTGAGCGAGGCAGATGTGTACCCCTGTTAAAGTGTCTCGGAACACGCGCATACAATGGTATACGTACGCGTGCGTACCGGGAATGATCCGCAGGATAGTGCGGCGGAACAGTTGGACATGATCCTCTAGTGAGCGTGCTCTTCAGGAAGACCGGTGACTCACCGTTGAAGAACAAATTTCTTGTTTTTGGAGGGAGATCAGGAACGTTTCTTCGTCCCCGTCTATTGTCCTCACGGCGGTGCTGTTTGATTTTTTCGAGGCGGGCGGGGGGGAGGGGGGTCCGTCGCGTAGTTTTCTGCGTGTGGTTGTGCATGGGTGTGTCATGTGCAGCGATAGAGCCACACAACTGTCTCCGCTCCTTGCTTTTTCGCAGTGCCATTCGGCTCCTAAGCACACCGGTAAATCACGGGAGGGTAGTTGTGCCGCAGGCGAGGCCGAACAGACACAACCTTGGGTCGGTCCGACTGCGTGTCGTCACATCTCACACGCGAAGGTATATAACTCAAGTCCGTGTGCAAGACCATGAGAGAAGAGTGGACGTATTGCCGCATTTCTGCTACTGCTGTGGCGGGGTTCTTCTCTGCCGAACCTGCTCCCGGCTCGGAGTTCTTCAATCGACAAGGGGCAAAAGACCGTGCGATAGGAAGATACCGCGAGCGGTGGATGCGGTGCTAATACCAAGGACAGCAGCAGGGAGAACACTGAGGAGGGGCTTGACGGTGATAAGAAAGGGCAAGGCATCGCCGTGAGGAGTCAACGCTCAGCTATCTTCCTGACGCACGGCGGCACATTGTCAAGCTTCGTTCTCTTTTCCCCCCGGTCTGCTCTCCTCGGCAAACCGCACGACAACATTTTTACCACGTGCATCTGTGGCCATATTGTCTTGTCCCCTCTCCGCGTCTGTCGGCGTGTTGTCAGCGTGGAATTGAGCGAGGTGGCGAGGACCGTGAGGAGGGAGCTGGGGGCCGAGATCTCGGAGTTGTTTCGGGAGTTCGACGAGAAGGCTATCGCCGCCGCCAGCCTTGCGCAGGTGCATGCAGCAGTAGATAGAAGTACGCTTCAAGTAGTAGTAGCAGTAGTAGTGGTTGTAGTTGTTGATGTTGTTGTAGTGTCGTGTGGTTTTGTCCAGCGACGGTTTTCCTCTTTCGTTGTTGCAATTTTCATTTTGGAGAGGGGTGGACAGCTGCAACGTCTGCGCATTGGTCAACAAGCTTAAAACATCAACTACTCATGTACCAGGGTCTCTCTCCTTTCAAGACGATGACCACTCCTGCGTATAAACCCATCTCGACCACACGTGCTTGGTTGTTCGCCGCTAATCGCACACGCATGGCGACACCAGTGTACTGCAAGCAAGAGCGCGAGGAAACACACGACGAAAGCTCGCTCGAAATGGTAATAGTTAATCATTTATCCTTTTTTGTCCACATGTGTGTGTTGTGTGTGTGTTTTTTTATTATTGGGATCGTCCGCGCTAACCGGCTGACCAATGAAAAGACGTCAGTCTCAGTGCGGTTGAAAACACGAAACACTTCTAAATGCCATGAACTGGGACCCCGTGAGGGGGCGGCATGGGGGAGATTGATCTATTCTCCGGATCAAAGACAGAAACGTTGTGTGTGTGTGTGTGTGTGTGTGTGTGTGTTTTTATGTCAGGTGCATCGTGCTGTGACATTGGCTGGCGAGGAGGTGGCGGTGAAGCTCCAGTACCCGGGGCTAGAAAGCCAGGTAGGATCTTTGCGCGTTGTTGATTTTGTACTGGTTCGTAGTTGTTGTTGTTGTTGTTGTTGTTGTTGTTGATGATCATGTCGTCGTCTTTGTCGTTTGTCGTCGTTGTTGTTGTTGTTGTTCGATACGGTCGTAGGTCTTGTACACCCGAACCTTTTCCGAGGGATTTCCTGCCTCCAGGGGACTATTCTTCATGGAACTCCCGGGTTGGCCTTCTAATTTTGCAGGGGAATTTGCCCCTCTTGAATCGACTTGTGCGCTGGTGTTGAAAACGCATCTTCTCGTTGTTTTCCGTTTTCACGGTGTCCCGCTAATTCCCCCCTCCGGACTCTGGCGGGAAGGTGCACAAGGACTTGCTGGGTATGCGGTTTCTGGCGGGTCTGCTAGGAGCCGTGTTCCCGGAGTACCAGTACACGTGGTTGTTTCCCGAGTTCGAGGAAAGCATCAGCCTAGAGCTGGGTGAGACAGGCCAAGGAGTTACATGTAGGGAGGGGAGGAGGGGGGACACACAATGAGGAATAGAGAGAGGGGGGTGGGGAGAGGGAGGGATGCAGAGAGAGAGAGAGACAGAGAGAGAGAGAGAGAGAGAGAAAGTTTTTCGGTTTGGGAAAGACACCAGCCCGCTGCCACGGCGAAAAGAGCAAGACACCCAGGACCACGTGCCCAGAGAAATAACGCCGCCCGCGTATCGAAAAATACAACGGGCCTCTTTCTCTTTCTGTATCTCTCTCTCTCTCTCTGTCGCTTTCGATCTCTACTTGTCTCTGTCTTTCTCATTCTCTCTCTTTCTTGTTCCTTTTCTCTCTTTAGACCTGGTGATTTTTCTTGCGTCTGACGCATGATTCTCTGTTCCATGATCCTGTCTACAGTGCATGCATTCCATGGCCTCACGAAGAGCTCTTTCCTTTTTTCTTGGCTGATGCAGACTTTGTGCAGGAAGGGACGAACTCGGAGAGGGTTGCAAGGATGTTCAGAGGGAACCCGAACGTCTTCGTGCCGTCGATTCACTGGGACCTCTCCAGCAGAAGGGTGCGTTGCCGCCCCGCTGTGGAAAAGGCTACATACTGCTGTGTTGTGATTCTTTGTGGGGGAAATTATGTGCTACTGCTGCTGCTGCGCTTTTTTTGTTTTGTGTGCGCGACCCCTCGGTCCTCTCTGTGTCTTGTGCACCACGTACGGCAGTGGTGCTACAAATACGCTGGAGGATTTTCCGCCGCACTTGTTTTGGCAAGGCTTACGGGTGTGTCTGGGAGGCGGGCGCGGTTGGTGCAGTTGTAGTGGTACAGTAGTCCATGGAGGAGTGGTGGTCTGGGAGGCTGGGATATCCGGGTATATCCAGCCACTGGAACCCGAAGAGCTCCTAGAGGAACCCGAAAAAATCGTTGAACCACCCTGGCAAGATGTCAAACCCACTTGCCGAGCCCCACGGAACCCCGGCGTGCTCTCGTTCGACTTGCTTCCTGCTAGTGGAAATAGCTGCCTCTTGCGCCAGGCATTGGCACGGTCTTGCATGATGTTGAACGGTCGCCCTTGCCCATTGCCTCCGCGTCTGTAGCGTCGAGTCGTTGGAGTACACGCCTCGGCTACTCTGTTGGACTCCCTCCCCCCTCTCCCCCCGAGCCTTCACGGAGCCCCGTGCGCTCCGTCCTTGTATTTGTAGGGTAGGCGGGCGAGGATCTATCGTCTTCGGTGCTTGTTTCTGCGCGAGGAAATGGCACCCACCCACACGTCGTCGACGCCCGAAACCGTACGTGATATTTTACCAAGGTGTTTGCTGCCTGGTTTCGAACGCCTGTGACAGGTGTTGACGATGGATTTCGTGCACGGCCTTAAGATTAGCGACAGGGAGGGGATCGAGCGAAGGGGGATGGACCCCACCGGAGTGGCTCGAACGGTCACGAGAACGTTCGGGGACATGATTTACTGCCATGGGTAAGAACCGGAGAGGTTTTGTCCGCATCCAGCCCTTCTTTTTTCGTGTTCTTGTGTGTATTGTACAACTTGTCTTGGAGCCACTGCTGCCTCTGCCGTATCTCTTGTTTCTTACTTCGTTTTTTTCCTACCTAGTGTGAGTCGCCGGTGCTCTGTAGATCACGCACATGCTAAGGTTCATGTGTATTTGATCAATGTACGACGCGAACACCTTTCTCAGTACGTTGGCGTGGCAGCCGCGCGAACCACGTTGAAGTATTCTTGTACACAATCCTAAAGCCCTCGTGAAAGAAAGTGCACCCGCTCTTTGCTATCGCCAAACAGCCGCAGACTTATTGCTCTGTCTGCACCCACTCAGCCTCAGCAGCCACGGACTAGTTGCTGTGTTGGATTGGATATCACTCTGAGATCGTCGGCGGAATGCTTGTACCACCGAACATGCCCCAGGTTTCTGCACTGCGATCCACACCCAGGCAACCTCATGGTGCGGCCCAAGCCTTCATCGAGGAACGCGAAGGCGGCGGCCAGGGGCACCGCAGAATCGGAGGGCGCCGCAAGATCGGCGGCACCGAAGCGGAACAGCGTCGCGCACCAGGTGACCGCTCCTGATGATGATGATGATGTTGTGGTCTCGCCTTGATTGATGCTGATCGTTTGGTTTGGCCTTGAGGCCTCTTTTTCTGGGGCAAATGTTGGGCTACGGTGTTTACCGTGGCATTTGCCAGGGATGCCTGGGTGTAGGCAAGACAACACCAGCAGTTTTGCTTGTTGCGTGTGACGTCGGTCTTGGTAGTCGTGCCTGCGGTTGACCTGTACCCTACGGCAGTCTTGTCAACGCGAACGGGCTGCTGTGTGATGTCTATTGGCGTTACCCCCGACTGTTTTTTTTTTTGTGCTCTGCGAAATTACCCCCTGTTAACTCTCTCAGCCAGAAGACGCCCTACCCCCCCCCCCCTG